TCAATTGGAACAAGCCTAAGATAAGGTGTCTAAGTGAAATTTGCGTACAACTTTAAGTGGCTATCGATGACTTAAGCCTTATTTTAATTGATAATACATATTTTATGATTACTTAATCACTGATTACTAACTCTGTATGATAAAATTTCTTTTACGGAGAAGGGTCTAAAACACCCTTATAGTATCAGAATTGGTACAAAAATACCCCTCGTTTAACTTTTGGCCTCAAAATACCCTTGGGGTTAACCTTTAGGGACCTATTTTGCCCTTTTGACTAACAGACTACTTAGTAAATATATTTAATTATTTCGTTTATTACGTGGCATGTTGTAATTGGTTGGAAATTTAATTAATTAATGCCTAATTTGTTTGACCCAAACCACCCTATCCACCCGACCCATCTTCAAAATATCCAACCCATCCAAATAAAATACCCATTACCCATTTCTTTAAACAAAACCCTAAACATTTCCCCCCAACTTCATCAGTTAGTTCTTGGATCTGCCGCGATGTTCAAGTAAAAAGTGAAGAAATCGTTTTGCTACTCCGATAAAGTAAGAACTGAAGACTTACTCTTAATAATTTTCATAAATATTGTGTAATGATTGTTCGATTAAATGTATTTCGTGGGTTTAGTTTTATTCGATTTTTTATTGCATTTGGTCTATTGTACTTGTTGTGAAGTTTGTGTAGTGTTGACATTATACATTGTTTTCTGATGTTAGGGCCTTTTATTGCTTTTACATGTTTTATAGATTGTTTTCTCGAGTTAGGTATGTGTATGACTTTATTGTTCCCAATTTGTGCACTTTTTTGTTTGTTTTAGTGTTGCATTCTATGTGAAGTTGAAATAAATAGTGTTAGTGGTCCCTATAACTTTACTACCTTTATCTTCAAATTAAATAATGTTAGTTTTCCTATAACTTGTTTTGTTTATGGCTGACAATTCCTTTTCCCTTTTTTTGTCTGCCATGTGAAAAATTTGAAGAATGACCGAAAAAGTGGATTTAGTATTTAACTATGGGGGCAAGTGGGTCCTTTCTCCTCAAGTTGTATACATTAAAAAATTGAATGAAACCTGGCATGGTTATGATGTGGATTTGCTGTCATATATTGACATTTGCTCAGAGTTCATTGAGAAATGTGGGTTTAGGGCTGTAAAACAACTGTTAGTAATAGGGCCAACTGGTAGATATTATTTGCTTGAGGATGATTCAAGCATTAGGACTCTACAATCTGCTCTGTCTAGTCAGTTTAGTGTTCTTCAATTATTTGCTGTAGATGAGGGTGAAGCTACTGCTGTTATTCCTAATATTTGTGACCTGAACAAGCCTTACCCTGCTGTGCCAGTAGAGGTAGCAACTGATTGTGAATCAAATGAGGAGGA